GGGGGGGGGGGGGTTTTGGGGGGGGGGGGGGGGGGGGCTGGACTGCATAGATTGGGGCAAGATGGATTCTATGTTATTTTTGCACTTCTAGATTAATTATTATTAATAATACTAGACTGCCGATTGGACACAAGCTCAACGAGAATGTTTCCGCGCATTCAGAATTTATTTCAGATTTTAATCTTCAAAATTCAAGTCATGTTTAACTACTTTAAATAATTAATTTGGGGTGGGGAGGGGTTTCCAGCGGTGGGAATGAAGAATTTGGGGGCTTTGGGGGTAATAAATTTTTCAGGGGTGTTGGAATGGAAAAATAGAGGCCAGTTTTTTTCGGGAAAAATTACGGATCTAATCAGTGGATCTAATCAACAGATTTTAGTGTATTGGTTTTTAAATCGGGTTTGAAAGAGGGGAAACATGGCTTACATTTCGAAAAATTAGGGTTTCTCCTGCAGAACTCGACTCCCGAAAAAATTCTAGAATAATAAATAATTCTTTTCAATTTAGAAAAAATCCTTTTGAGACTGAAAAAAGTTGTAATCTTCGAAGATTGTGATTTTTCGATTATTTACGCAATTTTTTGTGAAAAACTACACCTTTTACTTTTTTAAATAATCAAATTCCTTCAAGTCTCATCAAGCCTAATTGAAACAAGTGGCATAAATATCAAAATCAAGCCTTAAACACTTGAATCATGACATTTGCTGCAGGCATCGACGAAATAATTAACCGGAAGCTGACAGTAACTCCCTAATTCCCAAACCCGATGTTTAACTTATAAAGATATCTATAAATTAATACCGAAAATGTTGAGGAATGATCTCGACTTCCGGCCGAAGGACCGCGAGTCGAAAAAAAAATCAACCGAAAAATTCATGAATATCTTTCCCATGTGGGTCACGTGCCCCGCAAATAATGAATGACGCTGCCTCAATGTAGGCAAATTACAATGGCACATTACACTGCGGAATTACCCTGCATGAACGAGTGATTTAGTGCGCCATCCCTCAGAATTTCGCCTGATTGAAAAATTTACGATGGATAACTCCGTCGTAACTCTCAGAATGCCGTCGTGACGGATAAAAATCGTCGGGGGGATTTTTTTACCCGGTTGGAGAGAAAAAGTTCGGGAAAAATTATCCAGAAAATCTCGTCAAATTTTACTGTCCGATAGGTAATCGCGGAGCGAAGTGTAATTCGATAAAAAAAATTTCAGGTGGAGGAGATTTACGATTCGTTTCGTTGAATAAAAAAATCACGTGCAGCAAAAAAAGAAAACAAGCTTTAGGTTAAAATTGAGACTTTTGAAACGCGGAGGGAATATCAAATTATTATTTCAAAATTAAAATGTGATCGAGCCCGTTGGAAAAATTACTGTTGAACATATTAAAAATTGAGAGTCATTATAGTAGAAAATGGTAGCATAAAAGTTAAATTTTCAATTAACACGAGTAAAATTCAGTAGGATAAACATGAATTTTTACTTCGTCGGTTAAAAAAATATTCTCTCCCCCATTGAAAATGAATATTCGCGGAAGAGGACGAGGGAGAGGGGGATTTTTTGAATAACCGAAGAGAAAAACCATATTAAATCTTCTTTATCATCCTTGAAAATTATCATCAATAATTTTGCTCCACGTATATTAATTCTGATAAAGAGGAGGGGGGAGAGGAAGGATTGAATTTTTTAGAATTATAGAATCCGCCAGCCGGGCCATTGCGTAGGGAATAAAAAATTATTATTTCAAAATTAAAATATGATGGAGCCCGTTGGAAAAATTACTGTTGAACATATTAAAAATTGAGTCATTATAGTAGAAAATGGTCGCATAAAAGTTAAATTTTCAATTGACACGAGTAAAATTTAGTAGGATAAACACGAATTTTTACTTCGTCGGTTAAAAAAATATTCTCTCCCCCTTTGAAAATGAATATGCGCGGAAGAGAACGAGGGAGAGGGGGATTTTTTGAATAACCGAAGAGAAAAACCATATTAAATCTTCTTTATCATCCTTGAAAATTATTATCAATAATTTTGCTCCACGTATATTAATTTTGATAAAGAGGAGGGGGGAGAGGAAGGATTGAATTTTTCAGAATTATAGAATCCGCCAGCCGGGCCATTGCGTGGTCGACGGAGGTAGGAGACTCCAAGAATTGAAAGCAATCGACGCTCTCGTCGTCCGCTGGAGTTTTTACTGGTCAACATAGTAATTTCTGCTATTTCCTCGAGTAAAATGTAGGAGGCGCGAGAGTATAAACTAAAATTTCAAATCGTAATAAAAAATGACAATTTAACACAGTAAAAATTCCTACGATTTGCGTAATGTCTCGTCGTTCAATACTAAAAATTGGTAAAAAAAAAATGAAGCGTGTTTAACACTTGTGAAAATTACTCTACACTCTCTCCGTCAAATGTATTATTGTTTTCTCTTAAAAATTCCGAGTGACTTTCCCAGCGAAAAGCCGTAGAACGGACGTCCGCTGGACGATAACTCGCCCTCTCCGCATTTTCCCCGCGCGGATGTTAGAAAAAGCCCAGACGCCCGATATCAATCCCCCACAGCTCTGAATCGCTTGAAAATTTATGGAGTGCTCTCGCCATTCACGAATTCATGACACTCGTCGTATTTGAATTTGATTGACGATGATTGTCACCCACGTTAGTACGTGAAGTTTTACACGTGTTGGCGTACGTCCATAGCCAAAGGGTTGATCCGATTTGTGCCCACTATGGCGTTGAAGGCCTTCACACAGTCGTTCTCGTGGAGTGAAAATTGAGCCATTAACGTCGTAGTAACTCCGTCGGTCTCGCTCATGGCGATAATATCGAGCGTCGCTCCAAGTGCCTGCACTTGTAACTCACCCGTCGTGTCCTCTTCCACCCCCGCCCCCGTTCACTTCTTTTTCCGCGCAGAGCTATATAAAAGTATTGGTAGAAGGAAAAGTGGCTTGGGGAAAAAGTTGATCAGTTTTTAGCTTTTCTTCTTTTTACTTGTAGCTATCTTGAAGTGTATAACGAGAGGGTGAGGGATCTTCTCAAGCCGTCGACAAGCTCAAACGGCCTCAGAGTACGCGAGCATCCTCGATTGGGTCCTTATGTACAAGGTATGTATAAACGTTTCATAAATAAACCGATAAAAGAAAATCAAACGTTTCTGTCTTGAGTGGAGGGTTTTTTTAGCGGAGGGAGAATTGAGGATTTTGCAGGAGGGATGGGGGACGGTTTATGGGGAATCAGCAATTTTTTGGGGTTGGGTTTGATTTAAAAAACTACACGACAATTTTATAGTGTAGTTATTTTTGGTAATAAATTGGCAACGTGTTTGCGAATTATTATTTTGCGCATCGTTTGCTTCTGTCATGGACAATTCATTGTTTATTTCATTTTGTTAAATTGAGTGAGATTTTTTTTCAACTAATTTTGGAAGATTTTCAACTCAGTTGAGTGTTATCATCATCGTTATTCTTGTTATCCCTTTCTTCTGTACAACCGATTGTCTTTTTTACGGTTCTCTCTCCCCTCAGCCCTTCGATAAAATGATAATAGAATAGTATATTTCAGCACATNTCGTCTTTAACGTGTGTGGGGTTTACAGCATGAGCCGAAGGCGAGTGATGTAACCACACACGTTAAGGACGAAATTTCCCAACAAGTACTGAACAAAATTTTATGTCACGAAGCCTGAAATCGGCTGAATTAGACACGAGACGCGAAGCGTCGAGTGTGTAATCCACACGGTTTCAGGCATGAGTGGCGTAAAAATTTTATTTACACATACTTGAATGAATTTGAATCACATTTGAAGAATCACATCTTTTTGAAAATTTGAAACATTTGAAAAATCACATTTTTTTCATCACATTTGAAGAAACCATCGGAAAGCTCACTTTCAGGGAAATTCATGAAAAATTCGAAATTTTCAACAATCATCGTAAAAATCAAATCAATTAATATAGCTATCAAACTAAAACAAACATTTTAACGCTAACATTTTAATGCTAAAACAAACATTTTAAGCTATGATTGAATTCATTTGACGCATGATATTCAAAGATATCCCCGGAATTCTGATTTTCAAAAAATACAAAATTTTTGCAAATTTTCAAATTAATCAAAATAACGATTATTGCTATCGCCTTCATCTTCGAACTCGGTCAAAAGGACATCCGAACAAATTTTTTAAGCCATCATTCAGTCAACTCAGAACATTTTTTTAGTTATCGCGGGACAACCGATTTCCGAAAAATTCGAAAATTAAAAAACTAATCGATGAATTAAATTTTAATTAATGGCGATTGGTGGGGTCTATCGAAAGTCGAAAAGACGTCTTGAAGACATCAATTTTCCTCAAACAATAACTCTTTTTTCTCAATCGTCTGAGGAAGAGAATTTGACGCGCCCTCGTTGAAACCCGAGGAAATTGCCAAAAAGTTCTCTCAACCCACTGAACAGCGGTAAAAACAAACTTAAAACCCCCATTTATTCCTACGGAATCGCGGAAAACATGGAACCGTTAGTCCAGAAGTAGAAAACTCACTCGCTGATGAACGCAAAATGGATTTTCCAGGATTAACCCAGCATCAAGTTGAAACCCTGAGTTCGTTGATGTTTCGCGTGGAGGAGGGTACGAAAGCCCGCAAGACAGCCTCGACCCTGCAGAATCCCACCAGCAGTAGAAGTCACGCTCTTCTAACACTTACCCTCGAGCCATTCACCAGTACCGGGGTAGCCAGTGCATCCGTACAAACGTCCAAATCGTCGACGTCCAGCAACGTGAGACGACAGGACTTCACCCACGGCTGCAAGTTACACTTGGTCGATCTGGCGGGCAGCGAGAATGCGGCTGCTTGCGCCGGAATTAATCGTCTCAAAGTGAGTTGCCTTAATTTTTCGAAATATGAGGAAAAAACTGAGGAAAAATTACCGAAATGGGCGAGTTGTCACGAGTGAAATGGAGAATTTTCCTCGCATATTCCAAGAAATTCAGTGATTGTTAGGTCATTTGTTCTAAAATGGTGAATAATATTTTATAAATAATTTTTTTTTAATTTAATTCAAATTATTATTAATAATTGAACAATAAATAATTTTTCAATTTAAATTTTTCAGAAACAATATTAAAAACATTTTTAATCATCCAAAATGTCAATTAAATTGTGTGAGAAAAATAAAAAAAAATCATGAATATTCGTTGTTTGTAAATAAAAAATTGAAATTGTTTAAACTTTCGATAACATTATTAAATAATGGAAAAATAATTGTTTATAATTTATTCACAGAAAAAACTCGTAACTTTAAAAAATTGCAATTTGTAAAAATTCGCAAAATCATTGCAAAATGTTGAAATTTTCCCGATTCGACCCGCAAAATTAAGACAAAAAATTCCACCGCCCATCATTAATTTTCCAGGAAGGTGCAAACATAAATAAGAGCCTAGTTGCACTGGGTAATGTGATCTCAGCTCTTGCGGAAAGAGGTAATAGTGGAAATAATCCAGGAAGAAGATTTATACCTTACAGAGACTCGGCACTAACGTGGCTCCTGAAAGACTCACTCGGTGGCAATGCAACCACCATTATGCTGGCAAGTAAGAGCATTTTAATTGCGACATACCTCGAGAAGTATCAAAAAAACCCCTCAGAACTTCATTGAACTTAAAAAAAGGAACTTTTTATGTGTTACACAAACTGAGATAATCTCCTTCGAATTAAATGAATTTATTCAACTTGTTTTTTTTTAACCTCATTTGGAGAGGGCATTAAATAACTTCCACGGAATTACTTTTCTTACTTCCAACTTTTCAATTTAAATCCACCCCTTCAAAACATTTTAACTTCTTCAATCGACTTGAGTTTGATTCTCTTATTTTATAAGGAAAAGTGAATAATTCGAATCTCGGGTCTTTGTTAATTGAGCAATTTCGGAGATAATCTGTGATATTTTTTGATCAAAACTCTTGACAAAAAGTGTCTGAAAGTAGTATAAACATAATTTTAATATTGAAGATTGAAATCGGAAATAAATTTTCGCCGTGATTATCAGAAATATGTCAAGAAGATTAAACTAATGCTATGAGTGTCTCAATGAGCTTCACAAGGGTCGGATTAAGGGTCGCGAGGGTCAGATTAAGGGTCACGAGGAGTATAATGAGTGTCACGACGGCCACAAAAAATAATTTAAAAAATTTGATGAATCAATTCCTGAATACACGGGAAAATTGTCAATCATGAATGTTTTTTTCAAGTTTTTTCAACTTATTTTTACTACTTTAATATCAGACACTGATTTTTCTAGCCTGAACTAAAAAAAATTGATCACTCAATGATTCGAATTATCACACAACCATTAAAATCCCGAATTGTCTCACTCATGACTCAAAACATATCATTGTTCAACACTTTTCCAGGCGCCAAATCACAGGACTAATAATCATTAACCAACACAGACCATTTCGGTAAATAGTAGACCACCAGAAGCAAAGAAAAAAAAAAATCACGTAGAATATTTTCTCCATTCACACGTAATGTAATTCCCTCCCCTTCAACCACAGAATAAATTTACTCATTCCCCTTCCCCGTATCTGTAGAATTAGAGTAGATAACAATTTCTGGTATTCAGTGTTTCAAACTTGCGTGTAATGCCCTCAAGTACAATTGAAAATTGAAACACGGGAAAATTAACGGGCTGCATTCGATGATACATAACTGGATATAGCGGTGTTTTCATTGCTCCACCCAGTGGGTATATGTACGATGAATTTTTGAAGTCAATTAATATGTAATTGATTCGTGAATAGTTCATTCGTATCAGTGAACGACAATCCCCTTGAATATTTACACACACACATTGTGTGTTGCTGGGGCTATTTGTTGGGAGCATTGAAGACCCGGTCGAAAGTCTAAATTCATTAAAGTGCCAATTAACGTCACGTAACTTGATGCAAAATTGCTTCGTGATGTATTACCAATATTGTCAAAGTCATTGGCTAATAACATTGATTAAAATTTACATTGAAATAAATTTACATTGGATCACGCAGCTGTTGATGAAATACATTGAAATTAGTTCTGCATTGTTCGGTGAAAATTAAAGTCAACGTGACAAATATTGGCACGTGTTTCCGCAAATTGATTTCAATTCTCATCATTGATAGAGTTGAAAATAAAACTTGTGATCCAGACGATTAAAAAAAATGGAATGGCAAAATAAAAATTGGGATTTTTTTTTTTTTCACCGAAAAACTGCGGAAAACTATCGCTATCTCCCGTAAACATAGATTCGAGTATCAGTTTAACTGAAATGAAATTTGACGAGTAGCTTGAAGGCATATAAATCGAGAGTAGAGCGATATCACAGACATACACGGTAGTTTAAAATCAAATCTGTGAATCAATTTCAGCGATATCGCCAGCAAGCGGAAGCTTCAACGAGACGTCTCACACACTGCGGTTTGCCCAGAGGGCACAGAGTGTTATTAACAGGCCAGTGATAAATGAAGATCCAGTTGCTAAGATAATACGGGAGCTGCGGGCAGAGGTTGCGAGATTGAAATCATTGCTTTTGGAGAAGGTGAGAACTTTTTTTTTTTTTTAAATATCGATTTTGCGGAATGAATAGTTATTATTATTGTCATTATTATTTATTCATTTTGCGAAATGTTTTTCTAGTGAAACCAGTTCATTTTCATTTATGGTATTGATTTGATTTAGTACGAAAGAAATTTTTATTATAATTGTGGAGAGAATGCGCAAAAAATTCACGAAATTTAGGATTTTTTTAATCAATAAAAAATTGAAGAACATGTTCACTTGAAATTAATTGAAAATTCAGCAACACATTTACCTGAATTTCCATAGTAATTCAATAACAATAATAATAATTCATCATAATTCAATAAAAATTTACAATTTCCATTGATTTTCCCATGCAATTGTCAATTTTTAATGACAAAATTTCCTAAAATTTCAGCCAAAATAAAAAAAAATTAATCAAAAAAAAGAATAAAGCTTCCAAATTTTTTTTTTACTAATGCATGCACTACAGTCGATCCAATTTGTGAGTCGAAAATTGCCTTTGGCCCCCGTAAAGGAATTTTTTTTCCGTCTCATACTTTTGAAAAAAAAATCCAATTAATCTCCGAAAAAAGGGTTATGCATGAGTAAATAGTTGCGCTAGCAATTTGAATTTAAATGGCTTTCCGTGCACCAAAAATCATCATAACAACCCGAAAAATAGGTGCACCAAACTAAAATCAATAAACAACGCCGGCAATTCCTTATCAATGAGTGCACTCCAATCGATCCAATTTGTTTTCTAGAGCATCGAGCCACACACGGAATTGAAGCATCCGCCATGCCCCTGTCAGTATAACCAGGATCGTCAGGACTTCGAGACCAGATGCGTATCAACGTCGACGTCGAATTCACCAACGCCCGATTCAGTATCATCCAACGTCAGTCTGACGAGACGACACAGTGCGAGCGATTCAATCACCCCTAAATCAGATACGAATACTCCACCAAAGTGTTTTGGTTCACTCGAAATAATCGAAAATATCGATGATACTTCGTGCAATTTACCACTGACAAATTACAATTGCGCCCGAATATCACAATTGATTGAAGAGGAAGTCAATGAACCGGTTTTTGTCGATATACCAACGTTGGTGGCTGTACTCATCAAGCCAGACGACAGTGTGCAATCCAATTCCCATCAAATCGAGGAGATTTGTAGTGACACTGTGCCCGAAGATTCAATTGAAAATGAATTCGCCGGTTGTGTTGCGTCCAAGGCGATCAAAAATTTGGACACCGAGACGATTGAAGCAGTGAATCATAAAATCAATACAAATGGAGTTGACCACGGACCAAGTTTCCACATTATCGAGAGTAGTGTAAAGTCTTACACAAGTCGGAAGCCCAAACTCCGTAAACAACAGTCAACAGATTCTAATCTCCACGGAATTACACCGGCATTAGCGGCTTCGAGGAGATACGGATCTACGGAGACGTTGGGGAAGAGGTCGCAACCACCTGCGGTAGTGCAGAAGTTCCACCCGCCCCAGACAGCCGTCGAAAAACGTGTGAATTCGGATAAACCGAAGAAGCTCAACAACATCAAGGAAATTGACGACAAATCCGATTCATCCCGACGAGAGGTTCCAACAAAACCCAGGCCCAATCTAACCCGAAAGCCCAGCATTGACATTCTGAAAAGAAGAACGAGTAAGGACAGCAGTTCTAGTAGTTCTAAGGAGGAAGTGGGAAGTACAAAGGAGCGCAGAAGCAGTTTCGTTGAGTCTGAACAATTGTCATCAAAGCCACACACGATAATCCAACGGACTAGAAGAGCTGACATAGTTGCTGCGGTTACGGAGAGGCTCTACTCGAGCAGAAAGACGAGTGAGGACAGCAACACGGCGTCTACACCGGCCTCGGACATACGTTCCCCCGAGAATTCGGAGGTGAAAATTGCCAGTGCGACGAGAATGCGTCTTCAGGAAATATCGCGAAAGATGTTGGCCAAAAGACGACGTATATGTGTGGACACACAAACTGATTCAGCATCAACTCTCCGCTTGAAGGACAAAGGAATCAACGTGCGAGAGCCCAAGGTGCTTCGTAAAGACGCATCTGTGCTCACCGATCGTCACGAGAATTACGATTTGCTGGAGCCCTGTGACAAGGTTGTTCGCCGTGTCAAAGAGATGTCCACGTCAACGACAGATGCCCCAGATCTGCCACCTGTTTACTTCAAGGATTCAGCTAACATTACAGATCACTGCGGCAATCATTGGGACACAATGGAGTTGTGCCAGCACGATTCTGGAATACTTTACGATGATGCTCATTTCGACAGTGCGGTAGAGATGACCGAGAGCTCTATGAATACGAATTTGCCAATTGAACCGCCATCCAGTGGAGTGCAAACCTCTGAAGAAGACACGAGAACTTGTTGCAATGGTACGCGCCATCCTTCGCATCCTTGCCAAAAGGAGATTAAGCCGTGCTGTCCGCCTAAGATAATCACCCCAAGGGGTGACCATCAGCCTTTGACTCACGATCACAGCCACGATGAACACGCTCATGACCACGGACACGATCATGTCGATGATCATGATCACAGTCATCACGACGAAAGTGTTCACGATCACAAGTCGCATGAGCACGGTCACCAGCCGAGTCATGCTCACGGTCATGATCACCACGATCATGATCATCATGATCACCAAGATCATCATCCTCATCACCCTGTGGTGAAGTCCTGCTGTCCCCCGGAGGTTCATTCCCCCCACAAACACAGCGCAGACGACTGCGACAAGAGTGTAATCTCCATAAATCTTCCTGACATGATAAACATCACGATCCAATCGCCAGTTGTGCTCGAATCAAAGGTCAAAGTGTTCGACGGTAAAGATTCACGTCAAAGCGATACAAAGCGCGACACAGAAACTCAGACTGATAAAAAAGATGCACTTGAGATCGGCACGCTGACCGATGAGATTTCAAGCCGTCCGAGAATGCGCGATTCGTCTACGACAACAATAACCAGACCCAGTGGCAGTCAAACTGACGGCCGTACTTTCAGAATTGAAAATATATTCCAGGACCCACACGGCAATGGCTCAACATCGATTGACATACACCCAGGCATTTCATCAAATTATTATCAGCCCAACAATTCCATTCTCTTCACCAACTCCATTGGTACATCATTCACCGTTGGAGGCCGAGATAATGAAAAATTTTATGACCCCGGACTACTGAGTCCAGTGGGTAGACGAAGAAAATCCCTCACCAGCGAGTGGTTCAGCAAAGCCAGCTGTACGTGGCCAACAGCATCAAGATGGCGGAGTCAAAGTCCCCTGGGCATTGCCCCCCGAAATTACAATAGCACTGACAATTACACATTAGCGTCCAATTATTTTTACAAACACGACGTGAATACCAATTCACCGTCGTCACGCAACATCTCATGGCGGGAGAATTATAACATTAATGTGTCCAATGCTGTTGGTGAACAAAGGACTGTAACTAAACCAGTGGAGACAAAGGTCACAGATAAATTGCCAACGCTGATGTGCCCCAGCGCAGGCGTCACAAATGAGGGTCTGAGGTCGTCCTCCTTCATCGGGATGATAGATCGTAAGGGAGTTTACGAGCAAGAAACTAACTTTTCGGATGACAGCCTGGACCCTAAGGACGAGAGAGCGAGACGACTTGCTGGCGACATAAAAAACGTTTCTATCGTGAAGAATGAGATTGAAGATAGCGTGAATGATAATCCATGTCCTCCGGACGTTGTTGCACATACAAAAAGGGATAGTTGTGATTCATTGTTATGCCCGGAGGATACCGCTGATTTCGATGATACGGATATTGAACTGCCGAGAACTAAAGTTAGTGGGCTATCAGCGGATTTAGCCCCTGTCCAGCAATTTAAATCAATGATACTGGGAGTACCGCTTGTCCCGTTGTTACTAAATAGTGAATGCGACGATGAAAGCGGTCTTCAGCACAGATCGCGTGACAAGAAACGCGTGTCCTTCGACGATACTAATGTCATCATTGAACCCGTGACATCGCAGTTACGCGATTACAAATTTGCTGGGTCATCGCGGTCAATAATGAAATTGAATAATCCCGAGTCGGGGAATGAGAAAATAAGTTGGAAGCAGTCGTCCGAATCCAATCACTCGACGGGGTTGAGTTTTCGGAGGAGAACTGTTCTGGATTGCGATGACAAGTCTAAAAAATCGAGCAGCATCATTGAGGAGTACTTGGACGAGGCGCTGGTATTCATGCGAAATATCAATTCAATCAACAAGTGCGTCACCAGTGGTGGCGATACGAATGAGAAGCCTCAGGTGAGGCACCGTAGGGAGACACTCGAGGCAAGTGCGTGCAGCCCTTACGAAAAATGTTTGAGGAGCATGGAGAGGCTTGAGCAGTGTCTCAGCAGGGTCAAGTGTCACGAGGATGGGCTGGATGTTAAAAGACGAGAGTCTGCTGAGGCTAAACACGGTTTAGCTGACTTCAGACAGGATTCTCAGGTGTCTGTCAGCTCGACGGATGACATTAGCTTCAAGTACAACAACAACTACAGAGTTGACAGGTATTTTTGTAGATCTGATGACACCGATGAGGACGAGAGTGCTAACTTCGACTTTAAAACGCTTGACAGATATCGAAGGATCATCGACACTAGTAGAGTTAAGAATCCGCCAAAGAAGCGAAGTCGTTCGCTGTCTTCGACTAGAGTCAGCGATTGCGAATTAGATAATGCTAATATTTACCCGAAATTGGTGGGTGAGATTGACGAGGATGCACTGATTGCGAGGGTTAAGAAATCCCTACCATCACCTAGGTGTACAATATCCAAGTACGATTCGTCTGATGAAAGTTCAAGCTCCGACGAGGCGCTCGCTGCGTTTATGGAGTCTATCGATAAGGTTTCTCGATCGAAAGACAAATTTAAATATCCAGCGAGTCCGCGAGTCAAGTTTCTCCAATTACTCAGCGAGAGACGGAGAATTGTTGAGAACAGTCGAAGCACTGGCGCATCTTAATTAATGTTATTATCGATAAGTGAGTATACGATTGTTTTATTTTCTCTCTCCGCCTTCGGCACCCCCTCAAATCAATTGAATATTCAATATTGAGAGAGGTTGGGTATTAGTTTTTATACCTTCAATAAGGAATAGTTATTCTATCGTGAATTTCACAGTAAATCCGTGACCTGCATTAGTCTTCGGAAATTACAAGATGAATTGTATTTTTGTATTCAATCGAGTGATGAAAAACCAAAGAAACTACGACGTGTTATTGATAACTCATAAGTATCGTTAATCATTGAAATGTGTAACAATTATTTAATGAGATAATTCAACTAATACAAGACATACCTGTACATACAATAAATTCAATCTTCTCTTCGTTCCAGTGTGTTTCACTGCTTCTGATAAACCAAGATAAACTGTTATTGACTGATGGAATCCCTCGTGTTTTTGACATTGAGTGATACTCGTTGATTCTCTCCTTGTCAGATCTATAATTAAAAACCCGGTGGGTGGGGCTCGGCGGGGGAAATCCCGGCGAGCCGCACTTGAACCTGAATAACCGCTCCGACAATTGACCAAGGGCTTCACGAGAAGAATAAAAAAGCCCGTAAAAAGAGGTGTAAATTTAATAAACCCAGTGCGGTTTTTTTTACGTTCAACCCCCCTGTATATAAAGAAAGACGATTCTTTATAACGCGAGCCTATCGCCTGGATTTTTCTCTCATGACTCTTATTTACGGATTAGAGTCACGTACAGCTCCTCCTCCACCATATCCGAGTGATCCAGCACCATCGCACTCCCTCGCCACCCCCCGTTCTTTTTTCACAACCACACCCTTGGCACATTCGGCACCCCTCGGTATCTTCACCCTCGGCGATGCTGGCATTCTCCTCCACTTATACGACATAGGTATGTATCCCTCAGGTATGTTGGCACGGTCGCTTGGCTGCCACCGTATCTCCAATGCTCCCTCAGGGCTGCCGTCTCTCTGTAGACCTTTAACTTTTTCCGGTAATCGGGTCGCGTCTCGCTGGTCCCGAAGTATCGCTGTAAAAAATTGTATTTAGTGGACTGTAGGTGTGCTGGGGGCAACTTTCTGCGAATCTTCGGCGCTTTGGATAAGCGTATTGGTGGGGAAGTTGATGGGAGGCTTAAGTGAATGATGAAAGTTTCTCGTGTTGAGCGGAATTTTGTGGACACGATGTCGGTGATTAGTTAGGTCGTTCATTTCTGGGCGATGATTGACCTGTCTTCTCTTCCCACGAGGGAGCTGCGGAGGGTTTTCCAGTCGTATGCGAAAATCATGAAATAGAGCGATTTAGGAGAGTTGGTGGAAACTGTAGACTAGGTTGGAAATTCGGGTTTGCTTTGCCTTTCATGTCAGAAGTGGAGTGCCGGATGAAAGGGGCCATTGCGATCAATACAATACTTGTTCCTGTGTATCAACAAATTATCGGTGAGCTACAATGGCTGCTATCCAAGTCAGCGGAACGAGAAGATACCGGAATTTTGAACATTTGCATTCAAAGGGTTTCGTCTGATGAGCCAAAATAATTCAGAAAAATTTTAATCGCATCATCCGTTGAAGAGTAATCGTCGGGCAAAATTTTGTTTACACAATCACACGAACATGTCTTCAAAATTTGTTCAAAATGATTCTAAACGTCAAGAAATGTGGAAAAATCATGGAAATTCCACATTCAATTTTCGGGGTCATACTACCCGATAGATCGGGAAGTTAAAAATTGAAAAATTTACGGAAAAAATATCTGCGCACTCTACATCATTCATCTCAATTTCTCAAAACACGTCTTAATGTCTGAATTTACGCCACCAGTTCCCCCCCCCCCCCCCC